TTTTGGCAGTTAAACAGTTTTTTGTGAAAATTTAATTTTTCACATATTGGCATTTTCAAGGTGTGACTTTAAAGTTCCATGATCTTGAAGACTTTTGCTTGTCACATTTTCTGAATGTCCATGTTACTAATATTTTATTAATAACATTTGATTGTCATTATGCTGTTAAACATTATGTAATGTTGCATCAAAATTTGAAGAAACCCCTATTTTGGGCACTGCTCCTATGATGACCATTTAAGGGAAATCATGTCACTTACTGTTCTCAAACTTACAGGAAAGAAACATGGGTCTAACATACAGCTTCAATTGGCAACACAGTCTGTTTGGTAAATTTTTCTGGCAATTTAACAGTTTTTTGTGAAAATTTAATTTTTCACTTATTTGCATCTTTATTTTCTGTTCTTTGTCTGTACATTTGACAGCTTTGCTGCCTTGTTTCTCAATTATTTGGGCTTCTATACCTCTTTAAAATACCTTAATACATATTTTAAAATTGATTCTGTTCACCAAAAAAAAAAAATTATATCATCAGCTTCTGGTTGCAAAGAATATTATTATTATTATTATTATGATGATGATGATGATGATCTGAGATTCTCACCTGTTTGGTCATCAATATCAAACTTGAAGTAAGCCACATTAAGGAAGCCAGAGTTCTGGTGGAGATACATCATGTCTGGGTTCATACGCGTCAGGTGAAGGACAAACTCTGCAAGACCCATCAATGCCAGCTGGATGGTCAACTGAAATGGGGAATATAAAAGTCAGAAAAAACTCTTCTGAGCTGGTTGAAAAATCAAGAAAGAAATGAAATTTTCTGTTGGATTACTGTGATCAAATTTGGTCATGTTGAAGAATCAGCAAGATCCATTAGTGCCAGGGAATATAAAACTAGAATATTAACATGATTCATTCTAAAACAAATTCAGAAAGACTCATCAGAGGTGATTGAAAAATCAGAGAAATGGGAAACTTTCTCGAAGATTGTTGTGATCAAGTTTGGTTATACTGAAGACAAACTCTACCGTATAAGACCCATTAATGCAAAATGGATTGTCAAGCATCCACATACATATACCATCTTAAACAGAAGTCTTATAATTTTTAGAAGCTTGGTCCTTACCGTCTTCCTGAACGTCCAGTAATCCGTGGCGTCTGGGAAGGTGTGCGTGGCCCACTCCTTCAGCAGTCCTCTCGGCACCATGTTCCCCTGGACCTCCTTCAGGATGTCACGTAACACCTGGTGGCTGGCCTGGGAACCTCGCGCCTGGACATTGGCAAGACGCTCGTAATAGCGAGCTATTGGCTGGTCGTGTTCTATGCCACGCTTTGAGCATCGCTGTAAAATCATATTCAATTTTTTAATACTGGCATTTGTACTTTTGGAAAGTTATGTTTGAGAATGTATGTACATTTATCATGAAGTTGTTTCTGTTGCAATTGGTCTGAAAACAGTGAATTGTAAATTTACTTTTATGTAAATTTTCTGTCCTGTACAAGCTTATGGTTTCAAATATGTGTTATTCATTAAAAACAAGGAGATAATTAAATTAACCCTCTCTCTCTCATCTTACACATAAATACATGCCACCAGTTTACTACAATATACTGTGCAAATAATTTCTCTCTCTCTCTCTCTCTCTCTCTCTCTCTCTCTCTCTCCACATGCTTACCTGTTTATAAATATCCAGCAGGGACACAGATGCCGGATTATCCTCCACTAATCTCATCTGTGGTGACACTGCCACCACTCTGGGGACAGTGAAGTATAGAAGCCTCTCAGCTGTCTCCTGGTGGGGGAAAAATAAGGTGCCATACATGAAGTTGCAGAATATTTATAATTAATCTATAGAGATTTGAGTAACCAAGACAGTGCTCTAGTCCAGAAAAATAACTAAAAAAAAATCCATTAAAGCATCCAGTCAGCAGTAGACCATCATACAGGAAAAGTTTCATATTCCTGGAAATTTTTAGAGAACTCTTCTACCTTAATCACTAAGGTACACCATGTCTAATACCATTCACAGATTTGCTTTCCATAAACCATTTTTCAAGTTCTTAGTTTCTAATTTTGTTAATCACTTTCAGCCCCCCCTACCTTCTGTTTTTCCAAGTAATGGTTCATCATTCTGAGTAATTGCAGCACCCTCTCCTCTCTCCTGGACTCTGTGAGACAGGCATCATTTACCACCAGGTAGGGGTAGATCTGGAAAGAGGAAGAAAATCCTTTATCTATATATAAAAGTAAAATCAATATCAAAATCCATATCTAATATTTTAATATTAAGATCTGGAAAGAGGCAAAAGATCCTTTATTTAAATATTTATTTATAGACACAAGTAAAACCAATACAATCAAATATATAAAATCCAAATCAAATATTAAAAAAAAAATAACAGCTGGGCAGCTGATCACACAGAGGATTTATAGCAGTCCACAGTTGGAAGTTTGTTGACAATACATTATCATCATTAAACGAACATTTATATGGAAGTAAAACAAGGGACTAAATAGGACTAAAAATGGAAAAGGTTGTGCAATAAAACATGCACAATACATGGATTTTGAAACCCTTGATTAAGTCTTCAACTTTTATGTCAGATCTTTCAACTATCAATGAGTACTATATATACATATATTACTCACAAAAAAATCAATCCCTCTACATATTCATCTGCCTTTTTTACCTTATCATACCTGTATAAACAGCCTCTTGCCCCCTCCCGCACTATCTCAACCCTATATCCTAACATGTATATCAATCTCAGGGCCTCTCACATGTATAATCATCACCCCACACCCACCTTTCCATTATGTCCTCTGATATACAGCCTCCTGGCCGCTGTGTTGTGTTTCTGGACTATCTCCACTCTGGGCATGAACCTTGCTATCCTCACATAGTAGTGGCTATGCTGGAAGGTTAGGAATAAGAAGGTTGAGGCTATTTACTGAGTTATTTGTTCTGATACCACTTCTATTCTATGTTATATTTATACATGAAAATGCAAATCTTTGTGTAAAAAAAAGCCAGTATCTCAACTAAATAACCATTCTGAGCAATTGAGTGATTTCAAGTAAGAACTTAAAACTACTTATAAGTAAAAGAACATGCAACTCATTTTCACTCTGAGCTTCACATCCAATACATGTTAGCTTTATTTTCAAATTCCACTATGTGGGTGCATGTCAGTCTAGTGGCATTTCAGCCAGTTTGCCTCTCCGATCACCGTACATGAGTGCATTCAGAACAACGGACTTACAGATCCGCCAATCAAATATGGCGACCCACTAAAAAGCTTGCTACTTAATTCCTGATAAGACACCGAATAGATTCCCCATGGGGATTACACAATAAGTATTCAAGTGCATCAGCCACATTTGATCTGCGGATCTGTTAATTAGTCCACTGTTCTGAATGCGATCTACCGGCTCATCTCATGCTCATCTCTGAGTCATGAAAGAGATGGCTAAATTAAACTTAACTTTCTAGATGTCAGAGTGCACTACCCATGGTCATACGGAGATTCGAAATTGAAGAAGCTGGCACCCATCACATCTGAAGCTCTGGGAACTCAATTCGAAATTAAGTTTAAAAAAAAAGGTTCTAACCTTGGGCAGTAGGAACTCTCCTGGGATCTCCACCTCAGCAGTGTTCAGAGAAAAGTTACTGAGAAACCTGCATTTTTCTTCTATCAGGAACGTCTTGGGCAGCAACTTGGTCTTTGCCTCGAGAATTTTTATCCATTTCTTCAGCTTGTTGATTAGGTTGTGAAGTTTGGTGGAGCCAGGCACACTAAATAAATAAATAAATAAATTAATTAATTAATTAATAAATCACATATTGATTTATTTGGAAAGTTATACGAAATCCACTTTATAATTTATAACACATTCAATACAACACTTCATATTCCTAAGATATAATTTTAGAAAAAATTCTAACCTAAAATCAAAGTCTGTTGTAAACTGGCTCTTCATCTTCTGGAAGACAGGATCCTGTGCCGTGGCCTGAGCACGTCGCGCGAGGGACTCTGAGGCCGCACTGGAGAACGTTGACTGCACACTAGAGACATTCTCTATGCCGACGCCAAACGTGCTGACCAGCTTCTTCACAAAGTTCAAGGTGTGGGGAGTAATGGTGGCCTCCATTACTGAAATATCAGCAACACAATGTTAAGTCTAATCACTTATAATGTATAACTATTTCTTTTTTTTATGCAATTTCTATCTTATAACTATCTTATAACTTATGAGATTGAATCCTATTTGTGCTATATTTGAGCAAACATTTTGATAAAAAGAGAGCATTTTGGCAAATGGTTGATTAAAAGAAAAAATTAAGGTGTATGGCTCCTGCACTAAAATGTTGGTGACAAAATATTCATCATCAGTCTATTTCAAAGTTATTTACAGCATTTATGGTAAAAGTTCAACTTTATTTTAGAAAGAGAGAGAGAACATTTGACCAAATTTTTGCTGAAAAAAAAACCGAGGTCCTCACCTGCCCCTCTGTTCTCAAAGGCCACAGCATAACATTTGGCCAGCCCCTGTCTCAGTTGTCTGAGAACCTCCTCGTACCAATTTTCACGGAACCACACCATCTGGAGAAAAGAAAAGATAAAAATAAATCTACAAATCGTGGATGATTGCCATTAGATATCTATGGCACCTTGGGTATCATGGGACAATGGGTATTTTCATAATTTCTGCAATTCTTGCTTTTCTTCTCACATTTTACTTTGCTCATAGAATGACGACACAAACTTTTGTCACACTGGTAGAAGTACAGATATGATGAATTATTAGTGTTGAGTACTGGAAAATGATATCTTTGTTTGACATATTCAGTGCATGAAAGAAAGATGCATCATCCAGATGCGTCAGACTACCACAAATGATAGAAATTGTCGAAGTAAGTTTACAATACACTGTGTTCATGTCTTAACACCACACATCTCATTTATAAAATTTGACATCTTTTAAGGAACAAAGAAAACATTGTGTGTGCCTATATTTTCATATTTTGTTTTACATGTGTGTACAATCTAGTAAATCACTCATTGCATTGTATTTATGACCATGTTCTTGCACCTTAAGGCTTGACCTTTATTCCCCACTTTAACATGACATTGATAAATAATCATTTTTTTTTTTATTCAATGACTACATCACTTTTTTTATTATAATTTCAGTTTTTGGGGAGAGAAAGTTGAGACTTTTAGAAATCCTATCATACCTGGTCCACGATCCCCTCCAGTGATGACAAGATGGTAGGATGAAGATCACGCTGCATGTGCATAATACGACTGCATCGCCACATGGGCGCAGTCGCACGTATTGGACCACCGTCAGACCCGCTCACGGAGGATGAAACTGAGGCTGAGTGACCTAGCTGGCTTGTGCTGGCAGACGCAGAGAGAGATGAGGTAACTACTGATGTGGAGAGACTCAAATCAGCTAGAAGAAAAAAAAGAAAAAAATCAAATAATTTATTTCTTTCATCTGTAGCACCAACATCATAAAAATGTGATGCAGAATGTATTTTCATTAAAATATTCATTCTAAAAGCAACAAAAACATTCCTTATCATTTAAACAGATCATTATTTGTCATTACAATGAATATACACCAACATTTTGGTCTTTAAAATATTTCAATATTTTTTTTCTTTGAATTTAAAAAAACACACCTCCTGTGCCAGAAACAGCAGAGGCAGAAGTGGCACTGGCAGAAGTTGTGGTTGGGCTCATCACAGATATAGTGCTGCCCTCTGTGGTCACTGTGCTGCCACCTGTTGTCACATTTGCTGCAGTGCTGCTGGGAGCAGTTGTAACAGCTGTTGCTGCAGATGAAGCAGTTGTTACTGCTGCTGTTGCTGCTGATGTGGTGGTTGCTGCTGATGTTGTTGAAGTTGATGTACTTGTTGATGTTGATTCAGTTGTTGTGGAGACTTGGGGACTGGTTCGGGAGAAACTGGCACTGGCTGAGAGCTCACCACTTTTGTCTTTTTTTTATGAAATTAAAAATAAATCATAACTGTTCTTAGCAGGGTACTTTAACAGTTACTGTATCAGATTTTTCACAACACTAACCAAATATCTAAAGAGAAGTTGTTCAGATTACAGAAGATTTCACATAAACTTTCAACTAAGGCTGTATTCCCATAGCTTTTAGATCGATCTATCCCCGCAGGGAATCTCACTAGAGTACTGTCAGATAATCCGGCTTAAATGTCCATCCCGCCTACTACAAGCTGTAAGGGGGTAATTAACTTTCGTGTCTGCTCGGCTGACAGCTATTTAGCGTGAACCCCCAGGGAGTTAGGTCAATCTTAAGTAGATCGATCTAATCTCTGGAAATGGGGTCTAAGAATCAACACCTTTTTTATTTTGTTTTTAAGTTAAATGTGATATATGACTGTTTCTCCTACTCTGGTCAAATCTAAACCCATTGACCTAGACGAGAAGGTATTTCAGCTTCTCACATCTTTCCCTTTGACTTATCTTAAGTTATCATTAACAGTATTATTTTCAGTTTATTTCATTGCTGTGACCCCAAACTATTAAGACAAGAAAATACTTCGATCACTCACATCTCTCCCTCTGCTCTATCTTCAGTGTAAGGTACAGGGTCCTGATAGGAAAATACACAGCCTGTGGATACATCCTGCCCACTTGACTCAGGAGGTTCAAGATCAGACGCCCTTCATTCCTCACCAGACATGTTAGTAACTGGGGTATCCTGAAATATAGGGGGAGCTTTGAATCAAGACATCAGCACTACAGGACAAAGGCATTGTTTTATGTGCATAGTCCATTATTTGTTTTTTCCTCAACAAAACACGACTGGGATTTGATGTCCTACAAACGTAATTATTTCACATTCAATGTGTAATGCATCTAATTTCTACTCATTCAAAATGCAAACATGATATTAACAGGTGGACTAGTATTCAGCAAATATTCTTCTTTTTAAATCCTATTTTTCTGGTAGCAGTTAAAATGGAAAAAGTTTAAAAAGATACTAATCACAACTATAACAGCTCCTAGATATTTTCAGTGAGAAAATCCCACGAACCATGGCAGCCATTGTATAGGTGGCACTCCAATGCAGTATTTATCGACAGCCTCTGCCAGCTGTGACTTCTCATCATCGTAGGTCAGCAGCCAAAGAACCTTGGCCAGGTACTTCCTGGACTTGCTCTCATTCTGATGGCGACAGGCATGGAGGTAACAGGTGATGGCAGAGACACCCAGGGTTATGTTCTTGGATGCAGCGCTGATGTAAAAGATTAAAATTATATGAAACAGAGAAGAAAATGTTTTTGAAACCTTGGATTATCAGGTAAATTTTAATTTAACGCCCTCCTGTAAGAACTTGTAGTGGTTATTTCTAAGTTTCTGCCTCTGCATCATCTGAAACAGCCTCATGTTTATTCCCATATCTTTATTAATAAATTTTCATGTGATGTAACTTGATTTTTAGCACATGAGACAACATCAAAAGCATTCTGTCATGTATTGGTTGAATAAATATGCTGTACCATTTATTGTACTATTCAACTAGTCAAATTATAAGTAGTGGCCATGCTTCAATTCACACCAACAGGTTTTAATCAATACATAATACATACTTGTCCTTGGTAAAGATGCCCTCTAGATAGTCTCCCCACAGAGCCCAAGCCTTCACCAGGGTGTCATGCATCTGAACAGCAGCAGAGAAAGCCTTATTAGCATCCTCAGACCTGAAAATAGAGTTACAAAATGAGAAATGTAGATATTGTCATCAGTGGACTAAGACCTGCTGCAGATTTACTAAATAAAATTTTAAAATACTCAGTAAGATTTCAAATACAGCATTCTGACAGGAGAGTCTTATATACACTGTTATCTAACCAATAAATAACATTTCAAAATATTTTGACTCTAGATAAATTTTTCATGATTAAAAATTTTAAGGTTCAATTTGATTAAAAAAATATAAAACATACAAGTCTATCAAACTTTATTGACTTTTAACTTACCTGCCAATTTGGGCCAAAAACATTCCCTTCAAGGCATAAAACTCAGCTGTCATCTCTTTGGTGAAGAATCTCAAGTTTGTAGATTCTATAACTTCAAGACCCTGGGAATACATGATTGAGTATGAAAACATTGTCTTAGTACAAGTTTTGTTTAATTCTAAATGTTGAACAAATCTGTATCATCTTTTATTCAACAAAGTACATCTAAAATGCAAATAAGCTTTAATGGCAATTTATTTTTGCTTTCAATTTACAGATTTCAATAATGACTTTTTTTATCATGTGTAAGTCTTGACAGATAAAAAGCACTTTTATATCACACAGCCCAGACAAACATGGGCAAATAGCAATCTGTACAAGCACTACAGTACAGCATCTCTACATGATATTGTACATATTTCATTACCTCCTGCAGATCATTCTTGCCCATGCTACCAGCTATCTGGAGATAACACTTGACTTGCTGTCTGATCTTTTGGAAACAGTCCACTATGGGAACACTGGGAATGGTGTGGATTCTGAAAACAAGTTTTTTCATGTCATTCAGATATAATGATATTATTCTGTCAAGAACTTTTCTAATTTTCTGTCTTGAATTTATCTATAAATGAATTCTAGTAATAATCATTGGACTATCTGTCCACTTGCATAATGCAATATGAAAATTTGGTTTTTGGTACTGATTTTTCAGCTAAAGAGATTTTATTTTTTAGAACTCACCAGTGTACAGACAGAATTATGAAAACTAGTTTTATAAAAAAGATAACGGTACTGTAACAATAGTACGTCTAAAGACAATTTGTTCAAGAATTATAAATCTAAATTGTGCCTGCTTTTAATATTGAGATACACCCCAAGAAAATTTGTTCAAGAATTTCAAATTTCACTTTGGAATTGTTTTGAAGAATTATTTGAACCTTCATAAAACCAAGCGTTGTTTCACCTGCTCAGCTGGTCCAGACACACACCAGTGAGGTTGTGTTTTCTTGCAATTTTGCCGTAGTGTATGATGGCCTGCGCAGATGCATGCACGCCTAGCATTGCATGGTTGGCTTGCTAAAAACAAACATAGAACAAATGACTGCAAATTTTATGAAACAGGATGAACTGAGTAATCAACAATTGTAGTAACTTAATTCACTAAATTAATAGAGTTCATTGATTGGTTTAATTATATGGATTGATCAGATTCCATAAACAGTGAAAAGCTTTTTTCTGTTCACAAATAAACAACAATTATAAAATTTAAAATCAACATATTCATCAAACATAAGATCATTGAGTGTATTGTAATGTTTGAAGATAAAATGAAAGAGATATGAAGATATTTAAAAATTCAATTTCATATTCAATTAATCACTTTCGCTTCAGAATACAAAATAAATGATAATGTAAAATTAAAGTTCATACTTTAAGTTCAAAACTTAAATCCAATACTCACAGGATCATTGTGTGCGTGAGTATCATAATGGTTGACAATGAACTGATAGTGATGCTGTCGCCATGTGAAGATATCACTCCAGTGGGACAGACTGTCTGATATCATAGGAAGGCGATTCCTGAAATAATATCCAATATATCAATATGAGGAAATGGTAACATGTTGCCATGTGAAGATATCACTCTAGTGGGACAGGCTGTCTGATATCATGGGAAGACGATTCCTGAAATAATATCAAATATATCAATATGAGGAAATGCTAGCATGTTGCCATGTGAAGATATCACTCTGGTGGGACAGGCTGTCTGATATCATGGGAAGGTGATTCCTGAAATAATAGCACATATTTATATCAATATGAGGAAATGACATGACACAAATGACTTGTGTGAGTCAGTGTTGCTGTGTGTGTGTGTGTGTGTGTGTGTGAGAGAGAGAGAGAGAGAGAGAGAGAGAGAGACAGAGAGAGACTGCCCTACCTCCATGTCTTCACTATAGCCTTCATATCATGCAGACTGGAGTTCCTGCCTATGTTCTGTGGCTGTAGTCCCTGGTTGATCTGTGCAGCCTCCTGAAGCTCCATGATCTGCTGGGCAGCCTGGAATATTTACCATTAAATCTTAATTTATACATTCTGGTTGAGCACCGTTTCTGGCCAGGGAAGCTGTCGTTAGTTAATGACTTAATTCTAACTAACAACAGCTTTGTGAAACTTATGGTACCATTCCTTCATTTTTAGCTTATAAACACTGATCACTATTCATTCTAATCATCTGGTTTCATGCAACTATTTGATTTTGATAACTGATAAAGAAAATGACTTGATTTTGTATGCTAATGTGAGAGCTGTTCATGTATATGAATATGGTTGCATATCAGTATATTTGAGGCCTCAAATAACCACTGTATATTACCTGGAGGAGGTGGACGTGGATATGGGACACCACCCTGGGCAGTCTTCTCCACTCCTTTACTGCCAGGCTGGTGGAGACCTCCACAAGACGCTCAATCTGGATAAAAAATAATTGGCATGCACTTAAATAAAGTCTGATTCATACTGAGTTAATCTGTAAAATAAAGATGATTCATGTACAGTACTTTTACAAATAAAAATGCAAATGAATAATTAAATAAAAAATTGACTTTGCTAGGATATTGACATAATACAGGGCAACAGAAAACAACTATTTAAAAAAGTTACAAAGAATATTGAATGGAAGTCAAAAACTTGTGTGTTCAGATGAAGTTGGTGCATAAGTTGGTAGTGCACCATATTTTCCAGGTGAGATTATAAACTTCATGCCCCTTACAGCGCTGTAGATCACATGGGAACTTTAGTATTATACCAACTTTAAAAGCAACGCGTCTATAATACATCTCCACCTTGTATACTGTAGCAAACTTCTGTTGGGCTTCTAGGCAAAACCTGTTTGTCACCATACCAACTTATATATTGTGTACTTATGAAGGACTAAAACAACCTCTTGGAACGTAACCTGTTTATAACTCTGACTCATCATATACTATTCACTAACCATGTTCAAATGATGATCATCAGGGTGACATATGGCTATGTACCCCCTGTACAAGTTCACTTTCCAGGCCAGCTCCTTGGGACAGCTAAGTTCAACCTGCGCCAGGGCGTCCTTCATGAGGTTCCAGTTGGGCACCCTCCAGGCGCTCTCCAGGACCAGGTGAGGGTTGGTGTTACCCTTGGAGTTGGCATACTCCAGGAGGAGATCCCACTGGTTGAGCTCCTTAGAACATCTAAAAATAATTATTTGTCTCATATTAATTTGTCTATTATCAACAAATATTTTGACATGGAGGTCCCATTAGTTTAGCTTTTTGGAGCATCTGAAAATAATTATTTGTCTGATATTAATTTGTTTATTATGAGCATATATTTTTGACATGAAGATGCTTATGATAACAATGGCTGAGCTCCTCAGAGCATCTAAAATTGATAATTTGTCTCTGTATTTATTATCAAACCATATTTTGATATGAAGGTCCCATTAGTTCTGTGCTTTAGAGCATCTAAAATATAGACATCATTATTCATTATCAATCTACATTCAGGAATAGGAAACTGGTTGAATTCCTCAGAGCATGCAAAATAATTATTTATCTATCATAGTCCATAAAATTTTGTGTGTGTGTGTGTGTGTGTGTGTGTCTGTGTGTGTATGTGCATGCATGTGTGCATGTGTTTGTGTGTGCATGTATGCTTGTGTATCAAAGGGGGGGGGGGGGGGAAATCATGAAAGCACATATAGGAACCCAAATTTCACACTAATAAAAACCATAGATACACAATAATTTAAATGGCTTTAAATTCACGCAAAATACTGTGTATTTGTGTGTGACATACTTAATCCAATGGTCCTCCCACAGTTTATACTCAGGCAGACTTGTAGGCGTAGCAGGTGCTGTGTTGTGCTCTTGTCGTGCCTTGGACATCGCCTGCTCAAACGTCTGCTGCGCCTGCTCAAAGAAGCCATGTTGCTCGTATGCCATGGCCACTCCTGTCTCCGTATATTTACATCTTTTCTGCCATAGTCCCACATACATATCCTCTTCTTGTAATAGAGAGTAGAGCTCACACAGCGCGTCCAGGGTCTCCTGCTGAGTATTGGTGCTCGAGCTGGGTTCGAACTCGTACTCGCTGCCAGGCCGACTTGGTCTTATGGTCGAGGTGGTCTTGCTGGTCTCAAATGCCATTCTCTCCAGCATCAGAGAGCCGCGATGCCACAGGTTGTGTGTGCGGCCGAGGTACTGGAAATGGGACTAAATAAGGAATGAATTTGTAACTAGAGGATCAGAGAGGCGATACCGCCTCCGAATATTGTACCACCAGCTGGAGCAAGCGCATTCGTATAGACCCCCACATACACAAAATAAGAGACACAGCCACCAGTCTTATGCTTGACAAGCTATAAAAATGCAATCAACAAGAATTTTCAAAATACGCAAAAAATATATATAACTTAAAATGGTACAATCAAAATTAAGTTCATCGTAAGGTAGGTCAAAGGTCAATTTCAAGGTCACAGTAAATTGCCAGTATATGACTTCCTATTCAACTTCAATAGTAACTATGGACCTATCTCTGCCAGGTTTGGAGTTAAAAGAGAAAGAAATTAGCAGAGTTCAGTTCATGATTATAAGTAGGTCAAAGGTCAATTTCAAGGTCACACTTAGATTGCCAGTATATGACTTCCTATTCAAGTTCAATAGTAACTATGGACCTATCTCTGCCAGTTTTGGAAATAAAAGGGAACCAAAATTTGCAAAGTTCAATTCATGATAAAAAGTAGGTCAAAGGTCAATTTCAAGGTCACATTTAGATTGCCAGTATATGACTTCCTATTCAAGTTCAAAAGTAACTATGGACCTATCTCTGCCAGTTTTGGAGATAAAAGGGAACCAAAATTTGCAAAGTTCAACTCATGGTGAAAAGTAGGTCAAAGGTCAATTTCAAAGTCACATTTAGATTGCCAGTATATGACTT